GCTTGGTGACGCATGGCCGCTCGACCACAGAGCCACCATGTGCCGTTCGACTTCGTCGACCGCGTGTGAATAAAATAAAGTTCAGACTCGGGAAGGCTTTGTCAAAGATTATCCACCCCAACCAAATCAAACAAGAACGGTCATGTTGTGTCATGGTTGCAATCTTCTAGTTAAGTTTTCCTAAAAAACCTAGGAACCAAATCATTACAGTAGTGACAGTGCGAGCGCTTCTTCAAGGAAGCTTCCCCTGCCGCCTTGAGGGCGGCGGGGGGGAGCTTCCTTGAAGAAGCGTGAGCTATGCTGCGTCCTGACTGGTAGCTACTTGTAGGTACTAGCTACCTCTCCCCACTAGCTACCAAGCTACTACTGGCTACCTCTGGCGGCGGCCTGAAACACTAAAATAGCGTCAAAATGTCCCTTGTAGCCGTAGCCTAAAGCATCAGCATCCAGCCAGTCCTTCAGTGCGGGCTCCCTGCGGCCAACAAAGGACGTGGCCACGCCCTTATTCCCAATACGACCTTGGCCAAGTGCACAGATTCCAGTTCCACCTGAAGTTTTACAACTGAGAGAAAAAAACATTTGAAAGCAAACAACAAGCATGTCATGTATGCAAGAGCAGCCTGTTCGGCCAACACGATGCACATAGTCCTCTGCGTTCCTGAGCAGTGCGGGAATCGACCCATGGCCCATGAGAATGAGAATTGTAAGCCAAATAATTCCACAGACAAAGTCAAACCTGTGACGTGTTGCTGTGGCAGATCATAGTTTATCACATGGTCGATTCCGGGCAAATCAAGGCCACGGGCAGCGACATCAGTGGCTACCAAGACCTGATGAAAAAAAGGAATGGAACAAGCATTCTAAAACAAAAAAAGGCAAGGAACATCTGTACGAAGGGAACCAAAAGGAGCCCTGATGATGTCATTGCCTGTCTGGCTGAGGCACATTGGCAAGGCCACCCTTGAGATCGCTCAGAGCCCGATCACGTTGCGCTTGGCTGACACCTGGAGTGACCAGGGTGACCAGGGCCCTCGCTCACTACACACTGCAATTTCTTTCGTCGCATAATCGCATGCCCAAATCCCATGCACTTGATTCGTCTTCAGCCCGAACGCGACCTTCTGCCATGAAATACGTAAACTGAAATGAGGTCAGTTCAACTCCGCGAGGTCTCAAGTCTTCCGTAACAAATGTTGTGCCTCCATGCATGCTGGTGCATCGAACACGGCTGTCTCTCAGGCGGTATCTAAGGTCATCGACCTCGATAGGCTAAGGCCAAAAAATGCAGAAACATATTGAAGGACTGGTTCAGCACTTCTGTGTGACCTCTGCTCCGTGCTGCCATAGAGGTGCGTTCTAGTTGCAATGGCGATGTTTACATGTTAGTCAAGAAATGACAGGATGTCTCAGAACCTAGAAACGCAGGAAAAGGTTGGCCACCCTCCCTTTTTCTCTTCCAAATCCAGAGAGGTTCACCTCTGTACTATGGTGGTCAATATCATCATCATTTGGAGGTTCTCAGCGCTTTCAATTGTCAAGTCGCCATGTCCTTGGAGTTTGCAAAGACAATGGTCTTTGCCGCGCCCTGCTCGCCCTCAACCTGGTGAGCCACACATGAAGAATTCAGAAATCCAGACCTTGAGCTCGACTGGAATCTAGAACTGACCGAAGTTGTGGCTGAAAAGGGACTCTTTATGAACAACGAAGTTGTGCCATAAACTCTGTAGGACTACGGACCGACCTCCTTCAATGCGTCCAGGAGAAGCTCGAATTTGTCTGCACTGGTCGCGTCCCTGTGCAGCGCAAACGCTCACACTGAGAACCGAAGGTAACAAACGTTAGAAGCGTTCAACACAGCAATGGAAGATAGATAACAGAAAATCCCCCTTGAAAGGATCCTCTTATTTTCTCCGTGGCTAGAGGTGTCACATGCTTATGTACATGGCGCTGTGTGGAATGACTGCAAAACGACGAGCAATACTCCTGAATCAAACACAGCAAAATGATCGAACCCATTCAGGTCATGGGAGTCGCGTAAGAGTTTTGACTTTTGGTGCACCCAGGAACTCAAAGCGCTGCTCCACACTGCTGGTTGTTGCACCAACTGCGCCTGCAGAGTGAAGCTCTGTCTGACTTTAAACACAAATCATTGCAGCCTTGACGCCATGAGGAGAAGAAAATGTAAAGGTACAAGTTGGTGCACATGAAACGCAAAAAACACTTAATAACTCTTGTCTTTGTTGTTAAACGTTTCTTTTGACCTTTTTGAATCCTTTTGACGTTTTTTCTGCGAAGCCTACTGAAATGCTTCGATACTTCGAGTCCAGGAAATCACCGGCCAACTCTTGGATCTCCGATGGGAAAGTGGCGGAGAACATCCTGAGCACTCTGGAAACCCTCTCGGCCAAGGAAGTCCCGCGCAGAGAAAAAAGAGTTTGCGTAGACAGTATAGCAAAGTGAAGAGTTGCCGAGTGTACAGTGTAGCCGCCGTCGAAAATCAGCGTGAATGTGCACGGTTGAATGTAACGCGCTGCTTGTGAAAGCTGGCTGCTTGAGACGCTGGGCGCCGCGTGGGTGCGGTGCAGCTTGGCGCGTGCTGCGTGGGACGCTGGGCGTAGAAAGATGGAAAATACCAAAATGTGGCGTAGACCAGTAGCTAAGTTCAAGTAGCCAAGTAAAGAGCTAGGTTAGCATAGACATTTAGCTATATGAGTTCCATGCATTCTTCGCAAAGACCAGAGGCGTCCGTGAAGAAACTAAGGAGTGTGTATCGCAAAACCTGAACCTATATATAGTTTGTTTTGTTGTTTGAGACTTCCGCGCTTGGCTTGCCAAGATCAATCGTACAACCAGCTTTAAACAAGCCATGATGGCATCCAGAATCCAGAAGAAAGAAGTCTAGAGTCTAACCGTTAACCCAGGCAAGGATCATGGTCTCTCTGCCATTTCCAGCCTCCGGCATGCCATGGTTCTCAATGATTTCACGAATTTGCGGCTCGAATCCTCAGCACGCAGGAGTCTGTGGGAAGACCCAACTTGAGCAAAGTCAACACTATCAAAGCAGCGTCATTGCTTAAATTAATTTGGTGTCAGCGGTCAGCTCAAAGCAGAAGAAGTCACATCTGCGAATGAACCGAGCGGCCCATGTCCAGCATGCGATCGGCTTCGTCCAGAGCAAGGAATTTTACCTGGAGGTCAAGCTTCAACTAAAGGAGCGCAAGTTGAATGTTCAGATTCTGATACTATCCCTGAGCTTGGTTCATTGCTGTCCTTCTGCCACAAAATATATAATATCCAGCTACCTTGTTGTTGAAACGACATGGTCTTGGCAAAAAACTAAGAACCGCACGCTCCACGATGCTCCGCAATCCCGCTAACCCAGCTGCGGGTTTTTGATCCCAGCCCAACCGCCTGCCTCCTTCATGCTCAACACACCACGTTGCAGGAAGTCCTCCAACGCAGCTCCACTAAGAGCGTCAAGCAGTATAACTCCAACATTTACATACTCCAACCTAATGGCGATGGCCTCCAACCTAATAGCGGCCTAAAGTTTAAGGCATACTCCAATAAGTCATAACAAGTCTACCGCATCTAATCCGTCTATCTGAATTTGCGCACAACTTAGGGCTGAAACACACTGGCCTCAAGTCGGCCAGGAGTGCCTCAGCACGGTGTCAACAAATGCACTGCTTCTTGTGTCATTCAACGTATTTTAAGAATATATATATACATACAGTACAGTTTATAGATCAACATTCAATACACTATAGCGTGTCCTGTTCACTTTGCTCCATCTACAGTGGTTGAAGTCAAGATCCCTTTGTGAACAATCCCACTCATGCGCGCTCTGGCAACCTTTGCATGGAGACATCAAGAGGTACACCGATCGCCCTAGGCTCGGTGAAGGCCAACTGGCCGACAATTTGCAGCTCAGCTGCACACCACAATCTCGATGCCCCCAGCAAATTTTCGCAGTTGTGGAATAGCATCGGCTCCGCCATAAATTGCACAAACACGTGCACCGCTTCGAAAGGTCAGCCTGACAAAAGATCGAAGGTCCGATGAAATGCTGCGAACGATTCAAGAATGCAAAACTCAAAATCCAAGTTGGACCCCAAACAGTCAGAGTTCTTTCCAATCGGAAATACAAAGACAAAAGCTGGCCTTTCAGCCTCGACTGTGATTTGCTGACAGAGCTCGCGGGTGGGTGACAGCACCACGCTGGTAGGGCACACGGCGCCTTCCTTCCAGTCAAGAATGCAAAGGCTATTTCGTGAAGCAGGTGTCTATATAGTCATCTTGGAATCTAATCACGAGGCAAGTTTATCCGGACTGAAACGGCCTTTAAAGACATGTTGCAACATGTTGCACTTCTTTTCACCAAACCTTCGCTCGACCCCCTTCTAGCCTTAGCAGGCTTGGGACCAGCTTTCAACGCTGCAGTAATGATTGGAATCAAAAAGGCAGCTGTCTTCCCACCTCAGTGTCTGCATCAAGGTCAACAAAAATGATGAAGGTGACCTTTACATGTATTCCATGTTCAATATCCCAGGCCTTCAATGCTGTAAACGACATGCATCACTCCCCTACGTGTTCAAAGACCCTTTGCTTCACTCCATGTTCAATGAAGAGCTGATTGGGAGATTGCAGCGAGGCATACAAGTAAACATGGTTTTGCCAGAAGCTCAATGTTGTCACTGAGTGGAATGCTAAGAACAAAGTCACAGACTTTTGCAAGATGAGGTGGCTAATCTATTCTGAAGCCGGTCACATCAATTCTCCACCCGATTGCTATTCCTGTATGGCTTCTAATTATGGAAAACGTGTGTTTGTACAACTCTATAGTGTCATGTTTGTTCTGACGCCTGAAATTATACAAAACCAACAACTGATTCCTCAAACTGCGTTGTGGCACTTCCAGTTTGCGCGGTCACCAGCACATCATTTCCTTCGAGCACCGCAGGTATGCTGTGCCTCACAAATTTCAGCGTTTTGGTCGAAATGAATTCAACAAAAAAGGTTCATCCTCACCAGCAGTTTCTTTTCTTTTTCTCCTGAGTTTCCCTCACCGTTGTCGTTGTCACAAACCTCCTTTGCAACAATCTTAGGGATCGGGTTGTTGGCCACTTTCGACGTAAAATAATCTGAAAGAGAACCCACTTTGCCAAACCACGCAATGGCCTTTGGCCCCCGACCTTTTCCTTGTTCGGCGGACCGATCTACATTAAATCACTAATGGCTACATCACCATTGACAATATCCAGAATCGATGAAATCTCCTACCTGAAATCTGATATCTATTGATTTCTCGGCAAGAATCTTCTGCACAGGAGTGGGAACTCCGTAGCCACAACGTTGAATGTTGGCAGTCAATTCATCAGGCAAAGAGTATCTCTCGCAGGCCTGACACACGATGCAAGCTCAGACATGCACATTTTGCAACTGAATACTCCCTACTTATTGCACATGTTTTAAGGCCAGCCTCTTGAAACGTCTCGATCGCGGTCACATCTTTTGCACCTCCATGCGTCGTCACCTTGCATCTATCTGCTTTGCTGTGTTTATGAGCAGCCAAGCAGCCGTGACTCAACCCTCAGGAATTCAGCATGAGCAATTTCCGCAGCCTCAATGTTGTCATACTTGTCGAAGTCAATTCCAGCTGAGACGTGTGCTTGCTTGAAAAGCCTGAGACAATAATCCTCACGAATCCTTCCATTCTCCACAGCTTCAGTTTTAAGGAATTCTGAACTCTGTCCACTCCTCTTCTCTTCAAAGTTCCACTCATCCTCTCTTTTCTGATGTTGTCCACCTGCAAGTGGAGAGGGAGAGTTGGCACGAAGGTCAATTCGTCAATGCCTCTATAAATTGGAGTCTTGCTTCAGACGATACAAAAATAAATGAAAACTTTTGCTGAGTGAGAAGGGGGGGGAATGAAAGCCAGCAGCTGCCAGACGAGAGGGTCATTTGCTACATAGCAAAAGGTTCGGGAGAAGGTTGCGGGGCAGGTCCATGAGGAGGTTCTGGAGAAGGTTCCGGAGCAGGTTCCAAAGCAAACAAGGCTCCAGAGGAGGGCTTGGACAGCGAAGACACTGTCTCAGTGGCGCTTCTTGCTGTTGGGGACTTTCCTTGGGCTTACGGCTTATGCCACTGATCCGCACAAAAATAATCATACGTCGCAGCTACACCCTCTTCCCAGAGACATAGAGACACAGAACCATAGAGACATAGAGACACAGAGTCATAAAAGACAGAGACATCAAACACAGAGAAGTTGCTATCTACACGGGGTCCTTTTCTGATAGCAACTTGTCGCTGCCAACCAATTACCATACTTGCCCCAATACATCCAAGGAGACTTCTCTGACAGGATGACTAGGAGGATGGCAGGAACTATTTGTCGCAGCATTGGTGTCACCAACCGTGATCTAAAAATATGGCACAGATCCGTGACTATAAACAATCCTTAAGCAGCAAGTTCTTCACGCCACCAAGTTGCTATCTACACGGGCCCCTGTTCTGATAGTGACTTGTCGCTGCCAACCAACAACCATACTTGCGCCAATACATACAACCAGTATCTATCTATGTGTCTATCTATCTATCTATCTATCTGTCTATCTATCTATCTATCTATGATCTATCTATGATCTATCGATCGATCTATCTACTCTGTATCTATCTAGCTGCGCGGCCAAGCCGGAACAACGTTCGGTGCACGTGGACGCCGCGAGTATAGCAGAGACTACGATGGTTGCTCTGTACATGGGTGCCTGTCTCCACTCCAGTGCTCAATGCCCGTTGTCCAATTAGCCTCCACAGCCCTTCGTGATGCTGCCATTGCATCACTCGCATCACCAGACTCCATTTTCACTGCTTTTCTGACCCTCGCTTTGGAGCGCTCTTCCCAGGCAAACTCCGGGTTCACCCTCTCAAATGGTGCCTTTTCGCTGCCTACCCTTCCCCACACCCCCTTTACTCACTTCGTTTAAGAGCTCAAGCCTAGCCTATCGGCTGGCTTTTCGTAAAAAGTCTGTACCTGTGCTTTTGAGATTGTCTGGGCAGCGCGGTTTCAGCTCTGAATCAAACGCCCCGACGCAGTGGCCTTGTGAAAAACCAACGAGACGTCGCTGGTATTGGAGGAACATTTGAACCTGAATCCGGGACAAAACCGACTCACACGAATTTCGAGTGAAGAAAGGCCAACTCAAAGCAATGTATATGTATGTATATATATATATAGACAATAATTTGTGTAAGTCTTTTCTCATTCAACACGCACTTACCATCATGCAAACCATCATTGTGCAGAGCCTCCCGTTCGCGCTTTGCTTTTGTTGCTGCTTCGATACTTAATCCGCGTCCACCTTGATGGTCCTGAGCAAGGAACAACAAACATGCCATGTTCCTAGTCGTCAACACTGATAAAACCAAAGTTTGTCAAGTGCGTTTCTGTCCATGGAACAGAGTACATATCAGGAAGTGATGAATCTATTTGTTGCGGCATCTATCTATTGCTCGCAACTATATGCCAATCAACGTTCGGCAATCCTTGGATATACAATCTGGACACCAGTTTTCCTCAAGTTTTGTTCGTCTTGCCTGCCATCCGAACGCGCCGCTGCCTTTGCCTCTGCCCTGTCAACACACAGGCAGCAAGTTATGCATCACAGCTGAATGTGTGAGGGCAATCTAACAAACATCAGAATCAGAACATGTCGCCGAATCACCACACAAAACAATTTGTCTAAAACTTGCCTTTCCATAAGCCCTCAATGCACATGCTCCACCCAATGCCATTCCAGTGCATAGTTTCCACAGTCCATCACTGTGGCCAGCATCCTTGCAAGCACTGGCACCTAAAAATATGTGACATGGAAGTCTACCAAGGCGGCAAGGTTAAACACACAGCGGCGGTGCTACAATTGTTGATTTTGTTGCAAAAGTCGCTTGCTGGTCCAGCCTTGGTGGGATGCCGAAAACTCTCGCCAATCCCTCCACTGTTAATGCCCTTGCCCTTTAAGGCAAAGCCCTCAAAGCTGTGGCCTGAAGAGCAATATTGAACTGATAGCGCCTAAATTTGTCTTTTCATGTTCGACTGGCTGCAACACAAAGATCATGCGAGCATGCTTACACATGGTGACATAGTCCTGACATAAACCTTGACAGTGTGTCATACTAAATATAATTTTGTATAATGGTTCAAACCTTTGTCGCAGTTTAGCCTGGTAGTGAGCGCTGTGGCCCCACAAAACAAGGCAATGCCATGGCCATCAGAAAATCGCTCGAGCCACACACTCGAAAATGCCACACAAGTCACACAAAAAACACAAATAGTATGGTTTTCACTCGTTGCAGTTGTTCCTAGTGGCAGAATACGATTGATTTTCTGCAGCCTGCCTTGACTACTTGGTTGTTTATGTCAATCTGTTTGTTCAATTTCAATTGAAGATACAAATGCAAAAAACTGTACCCTTGCAAACATTGCTCAACATGTTCGCCACCACATCTTTGTTTCCACCTAAAAAAAGACAGGCTTGGTGTTTTTCAAAAACCCAAAACTCATATCAAGATCCCGACCTCTAAAAAGGATAAAATGCGAAAGGTAGGAAACGTGCATGGTCAAGGAAATGGAAACACGTGTGTTGCAGACAGCGCAGCAGTCTTGACTCAATTATCGGTTGAAATTGATTTCTTGAGATTTTGTGTGCTAGAAAAATAAATTAGCATTCACAAATTGCCATCGCATCCAAAGCTCGCCCAGCAATGATCAATGACTCTTCCCCATGCCGCAGCAAACGGGATGGCGCCCGCGCAGCGGTGCAAGGCCATGACGTTTTCTTCGTGGTGAGGTCAAAGTGATGTTGAACCAGTGCTCCAAAGCATGTTCCGGCACGTGCCACACACATGATGTGGCAGAACTGTTGAACGAAAGATTAGCACCGCTTGAGAAAATCAAAACAAGCAAGGCCGTGGCACTTGCTCTTGCAGTGGCCAAGCACTTCCAAAGCAAGCTGACTGAGAACTGTCCAAGTCTCATCTCTCAAATGGCAGACCCAACCGCGTGGCGCTGTTGTTCCGAAGAGTCAAAATTCACCATCCGGCTCAAACCGCAAATGTGCTTGGGGAGCTCCACTGCTGTTTGTCAGTTTTGCCTGCTTGGAAGAAGTTGGAGTTCTCACCACCATGCCTGAGTGGAGCGATACTTGCTGTCCCTTGTCAGAGCCTGGCCCTGATTGAGTGGACTCTTCCAATTCTGCTTCACTGCTTTGTGCAATTTTTTCCCGAGAGCATCTGCGAAGGGTTTTTCGTTGATCTGTGGAACGTTTCATCGACATTTGCACGCGGCTCTGCTCATCTTCACATCCACACATCTGCATCTCTGCTCATCTTCACATCTGCAAGTCTCACATCTGCACGAAATGCAGGTCAAAAGTCTTTTTGTTTTTTTGCACGGGTGGAGCCGCCGCTTATGCAGGAAATACACAGGTCAGCTTGTGCTGTTTTTGAAAGAGCCTCTTGCATGAAATGCCAAACAACAAAAAACACACAAGAAACACACCAACCCAAAACAACCCAAAAACGACAAACCAACAACCAAACAGAGAAAGAAGCAGGAGACTCTTGAGTGCACATGCAAGGTGAAACCGGTGTCAGACATAAATCGGGCGTTGAAGTGGCGCAAACGAAAAGCATGGATCAAGTCGAAGTTGCTGACATTATTCCTGCCTTTGTTGATGGGCCTGGATGAGTTGACCACATTATGAGCGAGAGAAGGCTTTGTGTTTGCAAAGGCCTGGGCAATCAGATCAGCCTCTTCAGCCCAAGCTGCACGTGGGGCCGGGTCATCGACTTCCAATCACTTCGGTCTTTAGCTTGGGACCGGCGATGCTTTCGTGCAAGGCCAGCGCATGAAACAGGCAATTCCCGTCGGTCCTTGTGAACCTTGGCATTTTCTTTGCACGAGTGGAGACGCCATGTGTGCAGAGATTGCACAGGTCATCTTGCGCTGCGTATAATTGAGTTGCTGGCCAGGAAGACGGAACCAGGGAAACCGAGCAGAAACAAACCAAAACCCCCAAACAGAACCAGAACACCCAAGACCAAACACAACGAGAAGACTTCCTGGCTGCGCGCAACTTGCAACTCAAGTGGGTCTTGCAAAAGTGAGACGAAAGAGAAGAAGTGAGACATGGGGCAACGAATTGTTTTTTTTGCACGAGTGGAGACGCCATGTGTGCGGTGTGCACAGGTCATCTTTTGCTAAGATAGGAAACTCCGCGAAATCAAGAAGCGAAAAGAGGGAAAACAGCCAAACAAAAAACACCCCAAACCACCAAACAAACAACAAAGCCAAAACAAAAACAACGAGCGAGATCATCGGAGTTTCATCTCTGTACATCTGAAATGAGACATTGTGAGACGGGAACTGCGGCTGTTTGCTACCTGGGCCACGAATTCTAATTTAAGCTGCTCTTGAGAGCAGTCGATTCATATGCGAAGAGGCTTTGTTTGCGCGATCGGCCTGTGTGTGGACAGGCCAAATCACAAGCGCTTGCTGGCGCAAGTGCTCTAGTTGGATTGCAGCTTACTGATATTGAGCAGAGCCTGAGAAGTTCCCTAGGAGTTCAGCAAGTCAAAAGCTCGATGATCGAAGAGCAATGAAGGTCTGGCCTTGGAAAACAGCAGTAACCTGGTCACGATTGTTCCAAGCAATTGCGAAGGCAGGGAAAACTGTGGTCTGCAGCGGGCAGTTTGCCTATGCAATTCATTGCTTTCAAGTGCGCCTTCCGGCGCCTGGCGTGGCTCCCTCGAACAGAGGGAGCAGGTGTAGCACATCTTGAGCAAGCTCCTTAACAGCTAAGCCTGCAGGAGCGCAGCAAATGTGCAATGTGCTATCCTGGCAGGATAGCAATCCAATTCTTCAACCGACTCGCCTCCATCACGCAAGGCCCTAGTGAAACATGGTGAAACTTGGTAAGCCTTTTTTTTTGCACAGGTGGAGACGCCATGTGTGCAGAGGTTGCACAGGTCATCTTGCGCTAGTGAAGAGAGAGTTACCAGCCAGGTTGCGGCGCAAACACCACGAAAACCAGCAAACAAACAAACAAAACCCACCAAAACAACACACAAAAACCAACCCCGAGAAAGCCGCAACCTGGTACGCAGCTCAAGCGGCCGTGTCGACCAGAAGAAAAGCTGGTGAAACAGGGGCAATGAATTCAGCACCGGCCCTCAGTTCATCTTGACCGCAAGGTAGTGTTGAGCTGCTTGCTTTATTGAGGTCTCAACTCATTCCTAGTTCTTCATTGCAGGCAGCGAGGCGTCCTGAGACAGGATGCTGTGGACAAAATTGCATTTGGCAAGCATTGTAAGCCAACCTTACGGTCACGTGTTCACGGGCGCCAGGCGAAGTCCTGCAAGACAGAAAGGCGCTCGCTCGACGGAATCGACAAGGCACCAGGAAAACCACTGCGAAATGCTTCCGAAAGCTTCAAGCTGCCGGTGACCGTTTCAGCAGCGCAGCCTAAGATCAACATGGTTGCGAAGGAAGGCACTCCCTACGGCAGACGTCAACTCCTCCCCAAGGGTGTGAAAACACGGAAGCGAGCGCGACCCCTTTTTGAATCCCGCTCTTGAGCCAAACGTTACAGTCGGTTTGACTGTATGTTCTGTTCATCCACTCTTCTCTGAAGAGGTCTGACTGGTCACGGTCGTCCAAAACATACTCAAAGTACAAGACAGCATCTCCAAACACTCTCAAGCAAAGCTAGGCTATACACAGCTCATTCAAAGCACTACAGCTCTATACTTAGGGTTTCTCTAGACATGCTCCTAGCCACTTCTGGTCACATTCCACTTAGTCCTGCTGAGGTGGTCAAAGAGAACACACTCCAAGGAGGAAGATCCCTACTCAGCTCCAACCCCAAGGACAGAAAAACGAAAAGTTCCACTACACAGAGGTACTAGGTGATCCAGACGCTGTACAGGCGTGCCACCCACACTTTTCACACCTCTTCTTGGGTCACCTCGTACCTTCTCCTGGTCTTCCTGTCTTCTTCTTCTCTTCAATTGGTTTTCTCTGAGTAACTAAGATTCGAGCGTCAACTAAGATCTCAACTCCTGTGGTCCAAACTGGTCTCCAGGTCGATCAAACGTCAACAAATCAAGAACGACAAGCTTCAAGCAAGTTCAAAACAAGATCAACCAATCAACCAAGGTTCAACCAAGCAAGATACTCATCGTGACAAAACCTGCCAGGTCCAAAAGTGCACAAAGCTTCAAACAGCGCGAAAATTAGCCCAGCCGGAGACCCCAATAGCAAGATACAAACCGGAAATCTGGAAACAGCTGCTGTTTTCAACACATCGACCATCTCTTCCTTGGACACCATCATCACATAACCGGGACACCATCACAAAATGACCAGGGCACCGTCAAAACAAGACCGAGACACCGTCATTACAACATGTGCTAAAATGTGCGGTTGCAAACATACCTCCTTCGGAGGACCCGTCGGAGGATGTGCTCGTGGTGCAAAACAACCACTTCCATATCATCCGTAGATGATTTCGCGCAAGCAAAAAGCTATGCTTTCCAAAAGGCTTCCACATCATCCATTGATGATGTCGCGCATACAAAGAGCTACGCCCTGTGCGCACACGTTCAAGGCGTCCATGCGCAAAAGTGTCCACGTGCAAAAGTGCTCACCATGGGATGCTCGCCATCCATCCAAATTTTCACATTATCTGACAAAGGCTGGGAGGCAGTGATCGCATCATGCGATGGTGGCGCGGCCCGGTCATGTTTTGATTGTGTCCCAGTCATGTTGTGATGGTGTCCCGTGATGGTGTCCCGGTCATGTTTTGATGGTGTCCCGGTCGTGTTGCGACGGTGTCCCGGTCATGTTTTGATGGTGTCCCGATCATGTTTTGATGATGGTGTCCCGGTCATGTTGCGATGGTGTCCCGGTCATGTTGCGATGGTGTCCGGGTCATGTGGGGACGGTGTTCCGGTCATGTTTTGATGGTGTTCCGGTCGTGTTGTGACGGTGTCCCGGTCATGTTTTGATGGGTCCCGATCATGTTTTGATTGTGACCCAGTCATGGTCCCGGTCCGGATGGTGTCCCGGTCATGTTTTGATGGTGTCCCGTCATGTTGCGATGGTGTCGCGTCATGTTTTGATGGTGTTCCAGTCATGATGGTGTCCCGGTCACGTTGTGATGGTGTTGCTGCATGTACATGTGAACCTTGTTCCTGTTGCGGCCTGCTGTGGATTTTCCTGTCCGGTTTGATTGCGCACCTGTTCCGCGTTCAGAACCTTGACCACTGTGCTGCGACTGCCTGCTGCCTTGACTGGGTGGCGTACGCGGTGCACCTGGAAGATCTGTGGCTCTGCAAATCCACGTTCCATAGCGCCTGGGCTCTCGTGCGCCTGACCGTTCATTACCGACGCCAGTCAGCCCCGCAGGGCTCCGCTACCATGCACGTTTACGCGACCTTACCAGCGCAACGTGTTACACGAGATGTTAGCGCGAGCCTTCGCGAAGTGGATATGCACTTTTTTTGCACAAGTACGGGCACGTATGTGCGTGTGACCACACGACAAGACACAGCAAA